TGCGGCAACCTGAAGGTTTCACTCAACCTGGAAACGAGCATTTAGTTTGCAGATTGAAGAAATCTTTGTACGGGTTGAAACAGTCTCCGAGACAGTGGTATAAACGGTTTGACTCCTATATGATCAAGATTAGCTACAATCGATGTGAGCATGATTGTTGTGTCTATGTTAAGAGCCTTGATGATGGTTCTTTTATTTTTCTATTACTGTATGTTGATGATATGTTGATTGCTGCGAAGAACATGGATGATGTTATCGGTTTGAAAACTTTATTGAGTCAGGAATTTGATATGAAAGATTTAGGTGCTGCAAAGAAAATTCTTGGAATGGAAATTTGCAGGGACAGAGACTCAAGGAAACTGCGGCTATCTCAACGGGGTTATGTTGAGAAAATGCTAGAAAGGTTTGCGATGAGCAGCGCGAAACCAGTTAGCACTCCATTGGCGAATCACTTTAAGCTCTCATCAGAACAGTGCCCTAAGACAGATAAGGAAGCTGAAGATATGGCAAAGGTTCCGTATTCTAATGCTGTTGGCTGCTTGATGTATGCGATGGTATGTACTCGTCCTGATTTAGCTCATGTTGTTAGTCAAGTTTGTAAGTACATGTCTAAACCTGGTAAGCAACATTGGGAAGCAGTCAAGTGGATCTTTCGGTACATAAAGGGTACTGTGGGACATGGAATTGTTTTTGGGAGTCAGCGGGATAATCCTTTGGTTGTAGGATATGTAGATTCAAAATATGCAGGTGACTTGGATAATAGAAGATCTACGATAGGGTATGTCTTTACTCTTGGTGGAGGGCCTATTTGTTGGAAGTCTACTGTTCAATCTGTTGTGGCTCTATCTACAACTGAAGCTGAGTACATGACAGCGGCTGAAGCTGCAAAAGAAGCTTTATGGCTTACTGGTTTAGTAAAGGAGTTGGGTGTTCAACAAGGTGGAGTTCAGTTGCTTTGTGATAATCAAAGTGCTATTTACTTGGCTAAGAATCAGGTGTATCGTGCTAGAACTAAACATATTGATGTAAGGTTCCACAAGATCAGAGAGTTGGTTGCATCTGGAGAGGTTTTGTTTCAGAAGGTACATACTGATGAGAATGCCGCTGATATGTTCACCAAGCCAGTTACGACAGACAAGTTCAAACATTGCTTGGACTTGTTGAATGTTTCGAGTTGTTAAAGAAGCAAGGTAACCCAACCCACATTGAAGTTTCCAAGGGACAGGATATTCGCCAAGGTGGAGATTTGTTAGGTATGGCTCATAAATATACCAGTCTCGTTGTGGGGTTACGAATTATGTGGGTTGGGGGTGCGGGGCTGCGGCCCCGCGGTACGGTACAAGGTTGATTTTGTAATTATGTACTAGGGTTTTCTATTATAAATAGAGATGTAACCTAGACCTAAAATATCATTGAATAAAACTTCTAGCGCCGCCTAGGCACCGAGGACATAAGCACATTGTCGAACCTCGTAAAATTCTCGTGTTCTTTTGTTTTCTTTACCCGTTTTCGTCAACAAATTGGCATAATTTTTTCGTTGAAAAAATGAATTTAGGATTTGTATTGATAATAATTTAAAAATCATTAAATATGCACCAACCAAACAACTTTAGTAATAAATAATTGTTATTATTTTTTAGGTCTCGAATTCGAATATTATAAATATAAAAAATATAAACAAATGGTAATGCAATCATTCAAAAAGAATATTAAGATACGAGGAATTGATCTTATGCCAACCTGTAAGAAATTAGAAAAGAAAATTTTAAAAACTAATGGCTAATTGTGTAAACCATTGGGCAGTGGTTCAAATGTATTGAGTTTTTGAAGAGTTCATTATGTGATTAAAATAGTCATCGATCGTTTTAGAATAGGTACAATCGAATATATTTAAAATAAGTATATGGTTAATATAAAAAATCAGACTTATAAGTCGATTACATGTGGACAAGATTAGAACATCCCCACAACATCCAAAATTAATAACTTCAAAAGAAGTTATATTATATTGATCTTTGAGGAGTTACAAATTGGATTTAAAAATACGACTCATTTAAATCAGATTTAGTTCGACCAAATTATAAATCTACTCATAAAGAAAAATTAATACTACATATGTACTAAACAAAATTTAGTTTATTAACTAAACTAAAAAAACTAAAGGAAAATGAAAGGTGATTATTTTAGGTTTGGTGAAATTGAGGCATGAGGCATGAGGCTGAGTCTTTGTTTGAGGGGATTGTTGACTGGTTGATTGTTTCTAGTGGTTGGGTGTAGAAGAGAATCCGTGATAGGAGGGACAAGGTTGCTTGGCATAAAATAATTTGGTTCCCCGATCACATCCCTAAGCACTTGATCATTATTTGGATGGTACGTCTGAATAAATTGTCACTTAAAGATAGATTTCTACGTTTTCGGATTGTCTCGGATGAGATGTGTAACTTGTGTGGGATTGAGAAGGAAACAAGGAATCATTTATTCGTTGAATGTCCGTTTTCGTGTAGTGTTTGGCAGTGTATTTTGAGGGCTTGCAAGCATTAGATGCGCTTAATTTGCGCTTAATTTTATATATGGTGAAACAAGGAAGCATTTTTTAACGGTACATGGTGAAAATAAAACTAAAGTTAAATGTTATATATGATTTTAGAAGAAAAAAATGTTGGATGTTGAAAATGAAACAAAACTAATAGTTAAGATACTAAACATATAGTTTACCCTTAATTTTATTTAATTTAATAACTATAAATTAATATAAAATAAAAAAGTTATATTATAAAGGAGAATATTTTTTTGCCTATTAAAGTAAGGATCTTACACGTGTCTGTGTGATACGTGAATATAAAAACTACCAAAATTTAATCACGTGTCTTTGTTAATTTGCCCTTCCCGAAGTTTAATATTGATTTTGTTCCCCTATTTATTGTTATTATATCGGCGAATGAAATAATGTCATAATATTTAAATAATTTATGATTTAAAAGTTTAAAATTATAGTTATTTAATTTATATTAAATTGAATTTTATTTTTTAATTAATTATTGCTTACATTTTTTATTTAAAACAAACATTTTATATATCAAATCTTAAAAAGATTATACAAAAATACTTTTATCAAATATCTTTAATCGATGTAAATAAAAGGGTGAGCTATGCATTTAGTATTTAAATTATCATTTTTGTTCTTTTTTAAAATTATACATAACGTTTAATTTTAGTTTCATTTTGGTAAACTGCCATTGAAAAGTTAACAATTGAAAAGTTAACAACTATTAACGTGACATTTTTAGTTTTTCTAATGATAATATGACATTATTTTATGGTGTCACATCATAATTACCATTAGTTTTTAATGATGAATGACCCAAATAAAATAAAATAAAAATATGTATAATTTTTTAAAAAATAGTTAGGTGACTAAAATGTAACAAAATTGATAGTTGGGTACTAAACTTGTAGTTTACCCTAAAAAGTCAAAATCCAATATTAATAGTAGTAATCAAGAACCGAGCTAAACAGAATTAAAATGGAGAAGGCCCGGAAGCCCAAAACCAAATATATGAAATGAACCCGTTCGACCATCGGTTGCTGAAGAGTGAAGAAGAAGATCTCTTATATTTTCTCCACTGTTTGTAGTTTTAGCGGCCACCAAAGAAAATGGCGTCGAACGCGGCGGTGCCGTTCTGGCATGCGGCGGGGATGACATACATCACCTGCTCCAACATATGCGCCAACCTCGTCAGAAACTGCTTGAAGGAACCTTATAAGACTGAAGCCCTTTCTCGTGAGAAAGTCCATTTCTCCATCTCTAAGTAGACCGATGGAAAGCCTGAGAAGCCCAGTATGTCTCTCTCTCTCTCTCTCTTCTTTTCCATAATCAGATCTGGGTTTTCATTTCTGTACAATTTCCTTGTTATTTTTGATCGATCAATCAAAGGTTTTATGCTGGGCCCCTTCTAATTGTGATTAGTTTCCCATCAAACCTGTTGTGCTGGAATCGGTTAATGGTTTTTGTTCTGAACCTGTTGCTTTGATATTAGCTATCCGCTCAGATTCGCCCGAAGGTTTAATCTTTTTTCTGTGTAGTTTTTTATTTTTTTTTTCTAATGTCTAAAACGTGAGGACAGAGTTCAGCGATTGAGATGCTGCCGCATTTTCATAATAATGTACTCTGCCATCTTAAATGATTCTTTCAGGGTTTTCCACCCTATAAAAGTCACACTTTTTTGTTAATATGGTCTCAATGAAGATCCCCACGAAGGTGTTTAGTTGTGGAATCAAAACCAAATCATCACATGCTTACAATAAACCGTGTTTGGAATAAAAATGATTGTTCACATTACAACTAAGCTAGGCCGGAAGGCTTTGATCATCATCAAATAGGTCTTTCATTCTCCTTGCCTTTTAATCCCTACAGCATCATACATATTAGAATATATATATATATTTATTTATAAAATATCACAATATCAATTGAAAAGAGTGGTAAGCTCATTGAACGCATGAAGTTAAAACCTCATTTACTCCGATTCATCAAAATGGGAGCTGCATCCATGTTGACACTACAAGGATAAGGGCAATGGATATGGTCGGACTCGTCGGACACTTGATGACTAGACGAGAAGAAGAAGAAAGGAAAGTAAAGAAAAGAAAAACCCAGCAGTGGTAGAGAAGCACCAAGTTGGCACTTGGGCCATGGACCATTACTTATCCCGGTTGTAATCGACCAAGACATTTCTCGAGAAATGTTCAAACGAAATCAAAACATGATTTAGATCTAGCAGTTAATTTACTAAGTGTGAAAATTTTGTATATATTTTGCTATAATAAAAAGATGAAGCAGTGGTAGACGGAGCTGCAAATGGAAGGGGGAAGAAGTAGAAGATAAGAAGAAAATGGAACAAAGAAAAATTTTCAGCTCTAAACCTAACAAAAGTGAAACCGCTGAATGTGCTTTTACCAAATTATCTGAATCCTTAAATTCCTAGCAATCTATTCCCTCGCGCTACATATATACATGCATATACGTTTATATGCTTAATTTTGACTTATACAGCCCCTGTTCTTTCTGTAGGGAATAGCCTCAACAAAACCAGCTTTCATCAATCACTAAAACGTCTAACATGATCACACTGTTTCTTTACTTCTTCCAAGAATGTCAGCAACATCTGCCCATGTTTCCCGGATTGACTGATCTCTTGTTTCATAGCTTCAGAAGCTACAGACACATCAGTCACCCTTCGAACTACTCCACGGATCTGAGAAACCAAGCGGTCAATGCTCTTCTCACAGCAAGCTTCCTCCGACACATGTAGTTTGTTCTGCCACTCTCTGTCTTTATCGTCCAAAGTCATCAAGAGAGAATCAAAACGATCCTTGTGGCCCTGTACAGAACATTCCAAGTCCCGGATTCCCTCCAACAAAGTCTCCTTCTCCACTTCAAATAGGGCCCTCAGATCTTCATTTTCCCTTTGGCTTTCGGTGAGCCTATCAATGACAGCAGAACAGACGACTTCCCATGTCTGTACCTCTTGGGAGAGCCCCACAACCTTCTCCTCATCTTTCATTGACTTGTTCTTCCAGAACTCCCTCTCTCCCTTAAGATCACTAATCTCCTTTTCCCAGTCCTTAAGTGATTTGCCTAACCTGGTGTCCTCCGTGGTAAGGTGAAGTTTCTTGTTCTCTAACTGAAACTCCCCTAAGTCATCCTTTGACGTATCATTTTTTCTCTTCCCCTTTACCTGACGATTTTCTTCTTGTAGTCTAGCAATCTCTTCATTCAACCTAGCTTTCTCATGCTCAGATTGCTGCCTCACAAAATTCAACTCTAACTGTACTGCTCTCAACTGTAGATCCAGGGGCATTACTATCTTATCATTTACTCTTTGTGCTCTCCATATCTCATAATTTGGGGTGAGCCCATCCGTGTATTTGGTTGCCTCTAGATAGAAGGTTTGTTTCCAAGCTACGAAACCTTCGTGGATTTTTCTCTCACGTGACTTTGAGACCAATAAGGAAACTCTAACTGATCTAGCCCATGGGTCACGGGTATAAACTGCATAAAACCAAACTGCCTTTGCACCATCAAAGGCGCGTAACTGACACCACCCCATAATCCTAGCAGTGGAACCCAATTCTTATTTCCACACCTGTATAGTAGAGGGCAATGTTTCATCCAAGGTGCTCTCCATGTGACATCTTCCTTTCTAAGATTTCTGAAAATAGCAACCCACTGTTCTACTGTGGCATTCTCTGACCACTCACTCTTGATAAAATCCGACATTGATACTAATGATGTCAATTATGGACGTAGAAGCACCTTCTCTTTTTTACAAAAATGGCTCATTATCCAAACGTGGAGAAGTTGTGCACACCCAGATAAAATCTTCCTTCCCCATTCTTCTTACAATAGTTGAGGGATAAAAATGGTTTCCGCCAAAATTGTCGGAGAGGGATTGATTTTATGTTTCAATTTCCAAAACATATCAACTACGGCAGCCTCCACATGCCCTAGTTTTTTTTGGAAAAATCACCAAACCATAAACTGCCAAAGCAAAAATATCCATCCTTTTTTCATTGTCTAGATCATTTTGAAGTAACTCCCGAAGGTCGTTCCATGGGATGCATTTGCTATTACCTATTTTCAAGATCTGATCTTCGAAGCATTTGGTCTCCATTCCTGTTATCATTGCAAGATACTTTTTCAACGATGTTGGCTTGTCTTGCTTGCAGTATATCTTACCGATTGAAGCTGACTCTATTCGCAACAAGGTGGTATACTCTTCTATAGTCGGTGTCATATCCTCCTAATTGAAGGTGAAACACCTATAAGCTGGGTTCCAAAACTGTATTGCAGCTTGGATAAGCGGTTCATTGACTTTGACTGGCATCAGGAGTGCTATATCCCCATATTTCTGACTAAAACTCTCTTTATCTTCCATACTCCACTGATTCCACATATCCTGTAACTCACAGAGGTCATTTTGTTGGACATCCAAACGCACACGGTCAGGCAATACTGACACATAGCATTTCTTCAAACGATCCCCATTCTCCTGCTGAACTTTTTCAGACCATTCACGAACTACACAATATCTCTCAGTTATTCTACAAACCTGATATTCCATTATTAAAGAACCTTCTGTTGGTATCTATTCCCGAACCAATATCCCTAAAGTATGATAAAAATGATGCAGACAAAAAAGGACAGAGTCAGTAAAGAAACGCTACAACAAACTACATAATCGGAGTAAGAAGAGTTTTCGAGTCGAGACTCTATCCTCGTTAACAACACTACTTGCAATCTCAACCCAACATTTAAGATCACACCAAATCACCTGCTCAGAGTTTCACCAAGAATAGAAATAATGTAAGAAAGTCACCATTTCTTCAACACCATGTTCTTTAACGGTGCAAGCCTACCAATGCTTTGAAGCATATTAACCGTCTATAGAAACCCAAACTATCCACTATAGTACTTCTAACGAAGGTCGAATCAAAATCAAACACCATCACAATCCAAAATTCAGTTGCCCAATGACATTTTCCCCAAAACTAGTATATCATTAATCCTTCTAAAATTTTCAATAACTAGTGTAAGTTTGATGATGCATTCCACCTAAAACATTAATCAACATATTTGCGGTATAAACTATAAACCCTAAGCAAAAGCACTAATCACAATCGCTAAATAAAAAGTTGGCAAATTATTCATCAATATCACAGAACTCCTTCGAAAACCCATTCACAACCAGCTAAATTTCCTTGAAAAAGAAAATCATAAACAGTCGAAATTTCAATAGCCACTAACCTTAGAAATATCTCATGGAAAGAAGTAAGCTGAGATCGATGAACTTGCCTGCAAAAGGAAGCACAGTTTCCACGAAATTTTTCCCGGGGAGGGAGGGAAGCAACCTAAATTGGGGACAGCAACGAGGAATTAGGGCTAGGGTTCATTTTATACATTCGTTTATCCGCAAAATAGTAAACTTATCCCCCAAAGAATACATAGCTGCCCGCAAAACGGTGAACAGTGATGATACAGGGAGTAGCGTTATTTTCCTTAAAAAGTAATATTTTGAGATATTCTACTCCAATGAAAGCACCATAGTTAACTGGATTAAATGAAGTATTCATCTGAAATTTTTATTATGAAGTTATATACAATCATGACTTACTGGTATTGAATTAGTCGAATTCTTGTATTTAGATGTGTAAGCTTTTTTATTTTTAATATATAATTTACTTATTTGCCGGTTAGTATTGGATATTTCTTTACTTAATTTAAACTTTTCTTTTCGTTACGATATATGTTTAAAAATAATTATTCATCGCTTGATATTAAATGTTTACACCTTTGATATTTATAGTGCTCAAACTCGAGACCTCAAGAAATAACAATAATTCTTTTTATCACCGAGATGATTGGTTCATACTCTTAATTTAAAACGTAATAATAAAATCACGGGCATTTTTCTTTTTGAAGAAGATAGAGACGTATCGGTAAAAGTAGAGGTATTGTAGGGTTGTTCTTATAAATATGGAAAATTATAGTTCCATAAACAAAAACAACAAAAGATAAACTACACATTTAGTAGTTTTGTTACTCTTTCAATGATGATGTGATATTATTTTATGTGATACGTCAACATCATCATTAAGTTTTTAATAACGAGTAAACTAAAAATTATGTACGATTTTAAAATAAAATAAAGTTTATATACTATAACAGAATAAAAATAATAGTTTAATAGTTAAACATATAATTTAGCCTAAAAATAAGATCCATTTGGACCGGGTTTTTGAAACCCAAAGTGATTCGACCAGGTCGAATTTTTTAAAAGAAATCAAATTTGAATTTAGTATGAATAATACTTAACTCGATTTGTTTTAAAAAATTATAATTTTATCTTATATATTTATGGATAATTACAATAATATCTCTCCCTATATATTTTTTTAATCAAATCTCTATTTTATTTTTTAAATTAATCTGGGATAAGTACAAGGAAATATATGTTTAAATATAACTCTTAACCTTTCAATATTTACACCCTGACATTTTTGATGCTCGAACCCGGGCTATCAAGGAATAATAGTAATTGCTTTACCACGAAAGCCACTTGATTCATGTCTCTATTTTATTGAATAAAAATAATATTTTTTAATAAATATATTATTTTTGGCCGGATCAAATAAAGTTTGAATTTTGTCTCAAGAAGACGGATCTGATATGGGTCGAGTGAAACATGTATAATTTTCAGATCAAATGGCTTACCTATAATTTTTCAAATTGGATCGGATCAGTGGATGATCCAGAAATATCTTTTAGGTTGAGCACATATGTACTGATAATAATTTTTTTTATATGGGATAAACACGAATAAAATTTTAGTGTGGATACCAATAATATTTCAAAGTTAGTACATAAGTAAAGCGAACAACAAACATAAAATAATTTATATTTTAAAGTGGACACGTGCCACCTTAAAACATACATGCATCCGCTACTAAATCGGAAAGACCGGAAATCTGACTCCCCATCCCCAGTTGAAGTGTCCATGTCTATAGAATACTGTTTGTATGTTCGCGTATGAGCAAAGTCGACCATTTGATGCTTTACTGTAAATAATTCATAAATTTATGTCTTGTATGTACTGTAAACAATCATTTGCCTGAATGTGGACTTGTGCTTGTGTTCTGAACGTATAAAATAAATATTTTTCACCTATCCAAAACATAGTAATTAACTTCCATGCATCCTCCTTATTCTGAACGTATGGGTTAAGTACCAAGTTTGGGTTTCAATCCAAGTAATGGGTATTGAGAAGTGAGCATATTCAACAAAAGCTCAAAGTCCAATCCAACTGACAGTTAAAAGTTAAAAGTTCCTCAACTACCTCCTTCATCTCCATCGAAATTCCCCAACTACTCGACATCAACCATGTTCTCTTCCAGCAGCACCACCGCCACCACCGTCGAACCATCAACTCCACCATCACCACCACCGCCGCCGCTTTCTCCACGGCTGATACCGTCCCTCCCAGACGACGTGGCTCTAAACATCATAGCTCGAGTCCCAAGACGCCACCACCCAACCCTTTCACTAGTCTCGAAATCAATGAAATTCCTCATCTCATCGCCTCTCCTTTACGCCGCCCGTTCCCTCCTCAGATCCGCCGAGCACTTCCTTTACATCTCTCTCCGCCTCCACACGAGCCACTTCATACGCTTCTACACACTATACCAAAACCCCAATAACACACTAAATCCCAAATACACCCTCGTTCCTCTCCCTCTTATCCCTTCCCCTTCCTTAGTCGGCTCTGCCCTCGCCGCCCTCAACCAAAAAATTTACGTCCTCGGAGGCTCCATTAAGGATATCCCTTCTTCACAAGTGTGGTCCCTTGACTGCCGGACCCACACATGGGAACCAGCTCCGAATATGCAAGTTTCCCGCGAGTTCGCCGCTGCCGGCGCTGTGGACGATAAAATTTATGTCTTCGGCGGCTGCGTTGTTGATAATTGGGCTCGATCGATGAATTGGGCTGAAGTTTATGACCCCAAATCGAGGAAATGGAACTCTGTTCCAAGTCCGATCGAAATCCGGGATAAATGGATGCATGCGAGCGCTGTTATTGATGGGAAAGTTTACGCAATGGCAGATAGGAATGGGGTCTGCTACGAAGTTAAAAGTGGGAATTGGGCAACGGTGGATAGTGATTTGGATAATGGGTGGCGAGGGAGAGCCTGCGTTATCGACGGGGTTTTGTTTTGCTATGATTACTTGGGGAGTATAAGAGGATACGATGTGAAAGAAGGGACTTGGAAGGAATTGAAAGGTTGGGAGAAAGGGTTGCCAAGGTTTCTTTGCGGTGCTACAATGGCGAATTTGGGAGGGAAGTTGATGGTGGTCTGGGAAGCGAAGAACGGAGGTGGGAAAGAAATGGAGATTCGATGCGCTGAGATCGAGGTTAAGAAGGATGAAGCAGGGGAGTTATGGGGGGAAATCGACTGGTCTGATGTTGTTCTTTTGGTTCCTAGAGAAGCTTCCATTGTTCATTGCTTGGCAGTTGCTTTGTGAGAATCAATGGAAAGGCTTGGCTGGTAAAGTTTTTGCTTTGAATTTCGTACTCTGTTATTAACATCTCGAATTTTCTCAACTAAGATATCTTCTGCTTAGCTCTCAAGTCTTAGCAAAAATGGGACATCAAGAGCCTTGTTCTTGAATTGTTGATGATTATGCAATTGTATAACTATCATTGTGCTTTGTCTTGCGTGGTGTCTATATCTTCCGAGTCTAGGATGAATTGTACAAAGTATCATTTGTGGTGGAATAATAAAGTAGTAAATTTTGTGTCTTACAGTAGTCATTTTGGCTGATTCTGTATGATATGTTGACAAGGGTCGTTAAGCAAGCCTTGTTACTCGGACTATGTTGTAAGTTTTGGATATATTTATGTGTTTGACATAGTTCTATTCATTATTTTCTTAGTTTTTTTCCCTGTATTTGGAAGGTTTGTTAAGATTCATATTCCCATACTCATGTTGAGATTGAAGAAAACTGAAATGTAGGAGCAACACAGGTTATACTTCAAAGTCCTTAACGCCATTTTATTATTCTAGGTTTGAGTTTTACCTCTTTGTCATTCATTCTCTTCAACTTTTTGAGGAGGAAGTGGTAAAAGCCTCTTGGAGTAGTGTTTACCTTGTTACTCGGACTCCAGACATACTTGTTTATCTGACACGAGTATGGTAAATTTATTTTTTCATAGTTTTCTCATATATTTGGAGGATCTTACTGTTATACCCATGTCCAAATATGTGTCAAACACGAGTGTCTATATGAAGAACCTGAATAACATAGGTTTTTACCATTTCTTAATCTCCTTGCTCGTTATAATGGACTCGGGATTTGATAAAGCAGGAAAAAACCTCATCACTTTTTACTATTAAAGCAGGAAACTGTTAAGCAGAGCTCTTCTTCTAGACGTAACTTTAAGCTTCTCAAAACTTGAAGCTATTTTTAATGGTTGCAACTCTTTTAGTTCCCTTTTTGATACTCTAGCTTGATGCAAACATGTCTGATATCTTCTTCACCAGGAGGAATGCTCCCTGCAAGAAGCAGCAAAGCTTCAGATCGAGCCATCCCACAAATATGATCGTGTCGTTAAGCTTTTAAACAGCATGGAATGCCATTACAATCTTATGGTGCGGACTTGGGAAAAGTGGTTCGCATCTTCCTCTCCGGTTACTTTGGTAATCAACTTATTTAGAATTCGGAAATAACTGTTATAATCCATGTATTTGTCTGGCCATTGAAAATAAAGGAGATTTCAAGTACACTCCTGGCCTATGCGTGTGTCTGTTGCACTTTGTAACAAGTGATTTCTTTGTCACCCTTTGTTCTTTCCCAAATTATGATTTGCAGATGTTGAAATTTGAAGTTGTAAACGTTTGTTTATAGTTGAATTGATGGAAGTTGGAATTTCTTGTAACATGCCTGCTGAGAGTTGTATTATTTTGAGATATATTCCGGTGTCTCGATTTGTGAATGGAGAAAATTGAGTTGGAAGAGTCGTTTCATATTCTTCTACGGGATACGATTTAGATTAATTGGTCAATAGGTTCTAGATATAGATAGTGTTATTAGAAAATAATAAAACTTAAAAATAATAAATCTAAATAAAATTCAATAAATGATTATGACTTGGAAATAAAATCTCAAAATTTTGCAAAATTATTCGATGTAAGAAATGTAAATAAAAGTGTTTAAAAGGAATTGGGGAAGGTGTTTAAGAGCCCAATTTACTGGTCAAGGGATCCATATAAATATTCCAGCCCAAGAACAGTAACAGCCCACATAAGTCGCGCCAAATCTAATGCCCTATTATTGTTCGATGAATTTGATTCTCTCAAGTAGTTTCTTCTTATTTTTCTCCATTCCGTCCACGAACAGCCGCAGTCCAATTGTCGTCACCTTAGTTACTGTTTTTCTTCAGCAACAATGGCCACCGTTATGCAGAAGATCAAAGTCATCGAAGATGAGGTTAGCTTTCTTCTTATTTTTTCTTTATTTAAAATTTAGTTCATAGAATAGTCTCTCTGTTCTCTTCGGCTGCTCATAATTATCTTTGAATGAAATCTATTTTTTATTCGTTTTTTGTTTGCTTTCTTTTAATTTAGCATAGTACCTGCTGAATTTCTGAATATCTTTCGAAGCTATTTAATTTGGAATTTGTATCATGTAGTTTCCACATTCCAGGGAGAAATGAAGAAAGCTTCCAGTTCTTGTTATTTTATTTATTTGAATTTTTATGCTTTGACACATGATAGCCAAATGTAGAAATGAAGATAGCCAAATCTGTCCTTGAAACATGATAAATTGCTAAAGTTTGTTGCATTTCTGGTGTATTTAAGCTTTTTCTTCGTTACAGATGGCGAAGACTCAGAAGAACAAAGCAACAGCTCATCATCTGGGCTTGCTCAAGGTGAAAATGTACTTTTTATTCTTTGGGGTTTTGTTTTGGTTCAATCGTGGAATTATACGTCATTGAAGTAGAACAACTGTGACTTGCATTTTCTTTCCGTTGGTGTTTATTTTCATCCTCTGAAATTATTTTTGTGTTATTGATCATTTGGCATTAGGCTAAACTTGAAAAGCTACGGAGAGAACTCCTTACGCCTACATCAAAGGGAGGAGGTGGTGCAGGTGAAGGTTTTGATGTTACCAAAAGTGGAGATGCAAGAGTTGGTTTAATAGGCTTCCCTTCGGTGGGGAAATCCACTCTTCTGAACAAGCTGACTGGGACATTTTCAGAGGTGTGAACGACTGCTTTTTATGTCATTAGAGCACATGAAAAATATGCTTGTGTCTTCTGCTGTGGGAAATGCTACAGTTTGATTTTGTATTGAAAAACCGTGAAGTATATTATGTGCTCCAAATCTTCATGTACCTTAATGTACCAATGCCCATCACATGTTAGGTCCCATCACATGTTAGGTGGATATAGTTCTGGAGGTCCAGCCCTTGAATTATATGGTAAATCTTAGGAATATCTGAAAATAGTCATGTCAAGCACATCAGTATCCAACACGCATGACACACCCTTGCATCCCCCCAGATTTTGTAATTTTTTAGTGGATGTATGATATGACAAAAAAGGGAACATACTAGAGTCACCAGTTAACTGAAGAGAATTTAAATCCCTTTGTAGCCATACTTGCCTTTTGAAACTTTGTACTGTTTTATAGTTTTCATGTCTTTATATTCTAACTTCTAAGCATCTCAGCCTGTTCTGCCATCTTATATTTTTTTTTGTCGGTGGAGATAGGTTGAACTAGGAACCGCCTAATTTGACGTTTTGACATTCAGAAAGAAATACAAGGGTGGTATAAATTTCACCTCAACTGTTACGAATACTCACCTGGACCTTGACACTGTAAAGGCAATATGTAGCGAATACAGAATTCACAATGCTGATATCACACTGAGGTATGATGCGACTGCTGATGATCTAATTGATGTCATTGAAGGCAGTAGGATATATATGCCTTGCATCTATGTGATAAACAAGATTGATTAGATCACACTTGAAGAGCTGGAGATATTGGATAATCTTCCTCATTACTGCCCAATCAGGTATTTTTCACCTCTAATCTTGTGGGAAATTTTCTGTCCGGCAAACACATTTTTCGTTCAAAGTTGGTGTTTTAAAATTGGGGTCTACTACATTGAAGTGTGTTGGTTCTAATATGCATTATTAATCTTTTTTGTGATTTTGACTTCAAATAATACTCGTTCTTTGAGAGCTGCTAAAGTGTTTTATAACAAACACTCATGAGACCTAAAAAGTACGAACCACGTTTAGAATAAACAAAAACCTTCAAAATTGCTCTCAGATAGAAAATTTTAAAAATTGGCCCTGCGATCCTTTGATAGCACATGAAACTAATATAGAGACTTAAAAAGTAGGACCACGTGATTTTTTTTTATTTTTTAATTATTGTGTAATAATTTCGTTAATGAGTTAACGAAACTAATATAGAGACTTAAATTAAACAAATCAATAACGTTAGAGACTTAAATCGAACAAAATAATAATATTAGATATCATTTCCCTTGATTTCTTTTAGTGGCGTATCATAACAAAAACACATGAAACTATCAGCATAATTTTCACTTAGTTTTATTCTTTTATATTTGAAAACAAAAAATGATAATTAGATACTAAAATTAAAGTTTACCTAAAATTATGAACTTTGAAAACGTTGAAAGAAAGCTGCCTCTCTCTCCTACATGTGTATGGCCATTAGAGAGTAGACCGTTCAAGATAACCATGAATTCCAGGCGAATAGCTCGGACGAAACTCTTTAAATACCATCCCATCTTCACCCTCCACCACCATCAACAATAAAACCTAAAGCCCTTTCGATTAAGCTTTAAGAAAAATAAAGAAATGGCGAAGGCTTTGATTGTGGTATTGTCATTTGCCCTAATCCTCTCAACACAGTCCATTGTAGGGTATGGTAAGCAGATCAAAGACTTCGTCAGAATCCAGATAGGCTCCGAAGGGGACATTGCTAGTGAGATTACTTCGTCGTCTGATGGTGAACTTTCTCTCGACCAGGCCGAGAAGATCAGTGAGGAGATTGAGAAAACCTTCAAACGGAGGGAAAGAGCCGCCGCTCCAAGCCTGGAGGCTGCTGCTGCATCGTCCGATTCCGATCAAGCCGAGAGCGATGATGCGGCTTCAATTGCTGAGGCTATTGCGAGTCAGGTAAGAGAGAACAAGATTGGTGAAGTTCTTTCTCCCGGACCGGAGTAGTGCGGCTGAGCGTGACGGTGGCGGTGGAGGAGAGTTTACCAAGGGATGATGATCAACTTATTCCTAAATATGTACTCTAATTGACTTAAGCCATACACGTTTAATGTTTATAATATAGTAAAGATTCTTGAATGCCATGATAAAATCCATATCTTGCTTTAAGTTTTTTATTTTTCGGTAAATTACACCATTCATTATTGAACTTTACTTCTCTCCTATTTTCTTTACCCAACTTTCAATTTACTCAATTTGCTCATTAAACTTTACAAATTGAATCATTTTGTTCACTCTCCCATTAAATATTAAATAACGTTATGGCATGACACAAGCACCAAAACGATGTCGTTTTAAAAACTCAATATACGCCAAAACGATGTCGTTTTGAATCCTATATTGAAATTACGGTGAGTAAATTATGAGAGAGTGAGATTCAATGAGGAATTGCATAATTTACCCTTTTTTCCTTCTCTTCTTCATTTTCTCTCCACCTACCACCACGTCATTTTCATTCTGACCACCATCCACCGTTGTTGAGGATGGTCATTCGGTCTCAAATTTCATGGGATGGTTTGCCTCAACCCACTAAGTCTGAATTTGGTAGTTGTTTCATCATAAAATGTCCAAAAACCTATGAATTTGGATTGAAATGTTTCAACTTCCTCACTTTCAATCTCAAATTCATGGACTTCGAAGCAAATTTCGACAAAATGGAAGTCGGATTTAGACTCAAGGTGTCGAGGTGAAGCGACTCATGAAATTTGGGACCGAACTGCCACCATCTATGGCGGTGGTATCAAGCCACCTTTTATTTTTATTTAATATTTTTAATTATTTTATATTAAATAATAATAATAAATGCACATCATCCAAACGTTAGAGAGAAAATGGGGGAGTTAGCAAAATAATTCAAACTGAAAATTCAGTGAGCAACTAGAGAGAGTAAAGTTCAGTGAGAAACGATGTAATTTATCCTTTTTATTTTCACTGTTTTTTTTAATTGTTTGAATTGTGTTAGGTATTGCTCATAAATATACCAGTCTCGTTGTGGGGTTACGAATTATGTGGGTTGGGGGTGCGGGGGGTGCGGCCCCGCGGTATGGTATAGGGTTGATTTGTAATTATGTACTAGGGTTTTCTGTTATAAATAGAGATGTAACCTAGACCTAAAATATCATTGAATAAAACTTCTAGCGCCGCCTAGGCACCGAGGACGTAAGCACATTGTCGAACCTCGTAAAATTCTCGTGTTCTTTTGTTTTCTTTACCCGTTTTCGTCAACAATTGGTATCAGATGTCAGGAGCAAAATTCGAAGTCGCGAAATTTGATGGTCAGGGTAACTTCAGATTATGGCAAACGAGGGTGAAGGATCTATTGGCACAGCAAGGGATCTTGAAGGCTTTGCGGCCTACAAAGCCGGCGTCGATGGATGAGTAAGATTGGGAAGAATTGCAGCAGCGAGCGGAAGGAACCATACGATTATGCTTGGCGGACGAGGTCATGTATCACGTCATGCATCTATCGTCTCCAGACGAAATTTGGAGGAAATTGGAAAGTCAGTTTATGTCCAAATCCTTAACAACAAAACTGTATCTGAAGCAACGGCTGTATGGGCTGAAGATGCAGGACGATCATGATTTGGCGCAACACGTGAATGTCTTCAATCAAATCGTTTCTGATCTAGTTCGGCTTGATGTGAAAATTGAGGATGAAGACAGAGCGATGATTCTGTTGTGTTCGTTGCCTCCCTCTTACGAACACATGGTGACTACTCTTACATATGGGAAAGAGACTATCAACGTTGAGGAGATTACTGCAGCCTTGTTGGCTCACAACCAGCGGAAGCAGAATGCAGGGGAAAGCTCTCAAGCCGATAGCTTATATGTCAAGGGTAATCGAGATCGTGGACGGAAGCCAGAGAAGGCAGGGTCCGGGAAGCGGAATTCCAGATCCAAATCCAGGGATAAGAAGACGATTCACTGTTACAAGTGCAAGGAGGCGGGACATATGAAGCGAGACTGTCCGAAGTTGAAAAAACAGACTGATGAGAAGCGTGATGGCTCATCCAAGTCTGTGAATGTGGTCGAGGATGATAATTCTGATTGCAGTGAGGGTGATATGCTTTCTATTTCTACGACACAATTGACGGATGCTTGGATTCTTGATTCTGGATGTTCTTATCACATCACGCCAAATAGGGAATGGTTTTCGACATACAGGCCGGTTAATTCTGGTTCGGTTTATTTGGGTGATGATCGATGTTGCAATATTGTTGGTATTGGTGATGTCAGAATTAAGATGCACGATGGCTCCGTTCGGACGTTGAGTGGTGTTCAACATATCCCAGACTTGAAGAAGAATTTGATTTCCTTGGGCACTTTGCACAATAATGGTTTTATCCCTAAGGCTGACGAGGATAGGGAAACCATTCGGATTGTTAAAGGAGCATTGACTGTGATGAAAGGTAAGATGACTGCAGGGAATATCTACAGATTGTTAGGGAGTACCGTTGCAGGTGGAGTTCACTCTGTTGAGTCATGTGATGATACGACAAAATTGTGGCATATGCGCCTTGCTCATCTTAGTGAACGTGGTATGGCAGAATTACACAAGAGAAACTTGTTGCATGGTGTCAAAAGCTGTAAGCTCGATTTTTGCAAGTATTGTGTTCTTGGTAAACAAACTAAAGTCCGTTTTAAGACTACGAAGCACACAACTCAAGGGATTCTTGATTATGTGCATTCTGATGTATGGGGGCCTTCCACGACATCGTCTTTGGGTGGATCTAGGTACTATGTTACTTTTATTGATGATTTTTCACGGAAAGTTTGGGTGTATTTTTTGAAACAGAAATCTGAAGTTTTTGAGAAGTTCAAGCTGTGGAAAGCTGAGGTAGAAAACTGAACAGGACGAAAAATCAAGTGTTTGCGGTCTGACAATGGTACGGAGTACACAGATTCACAGTTCCTACAATTCTGTAAGGAGCATGGGATTCAGAGGCA